TTTTTCCCCGAGCCAGTCTATTTCCCTTCTTCCCTGTTGCGTTGGACATGCTCTGAGTTTATGCTATTTGTGTAGGATTGGCCCAAATTTCTCCGACGCTATTTTAAAGCGGTAATTAAGCGAGATTTTGAAGTCGGTGAAGCGGTACAATTTGGTTTTCTCGTTCGCTCAGGGTTAATAAATTCCGTCTCTTTTTCCCAAAATCACCGTACTCCTTTCCAAGAATCTCTCACCGCTACATACACGCACAGAATTGTCTGAAAAGCGCAATACGGGCAGCAATTTATTTTATATATAGGCAAGTGCATACGAATTGGCGATAGCTATTTCTCTCTATGGAGTTTGAAGCTATAGATAGCAGTGGTGAGTATACACGCACTTAGAATTTGGATTATTTTTTTATTTATTAATTTGTTAATTGATTTTACGTGGGTTTATGTCTAGTCGTTGACTCGTTGTATAGATGTAACTTTTTTTAATTAAGGGCTTAGGTTTCGTAATTGATCATTCGACATATTGAAATTCTTGGAAATGAAACCTAGGTTTATGATTTTTAAGTATTAGGGCTTTTAAGAATGAACTGCTGCAATTCTACTAATTAAGTTGAAAATACAATATCTAGCCCTCTCGAATTCCATTTATTCTCGATGAAATTAAGTTGGTTTGTATCCGTGGATATTTGGAGAATGGATTTGAACCTGTGAAGGAGGAGCTTATTCTGGGTTTATAGAATATTGAGTAAATCGGGGCCTTCGGTTGCCGTAGGTAAGACATTTTCCTCCTCAAGGGCTTAGTCAGTTATTAAACGTTTTTATCATGCATGAAAGATTCCAAAATTATTGTAATTTTTGAGATCATTTTATGCTTTACTTTTTTAGGAAAACTGGAGCTTAGGTTTTTTAATTATCAGCAATAATTATGAATTATGGGATTTTCTCATTGTCTCCGGTGATCATGTGTATGTCAAAATGAATAGAGGAAAGAGAATATACTAAGACTGAAATGTTTAAAAAAGCGTAATTGGGTGTTGAGGCCTTTTTCCTTCACAAGGCGAGGTGTAAGCCTCACATTAAACACAAAAATATCAATAAGTTATTAAGATGTAAAATAATCTCAGAATGCATCATAAAAATCTTCAAAATTCATGATTTGAAAGTGCGCAAAAAATAAAATAATAAAAATAATAAAATAAATAAAAATAAATAAAAAATAAAAACTGTTAAGAAACTACTATTCTAGTTGGTGGGGGTAGTGAACCATTCATAAAAAACTCAATTTCTAATGTTTTAGTGGACAGTGGGTTATTCACAAAGTGGGTTAATAAGAATTCTTATTTTTTGTGGGTAACAAGCCTTTGAGGCGGGCTGTGAGAAATGTGCTTTTAATTGTTATTTTTTAA